GTGATATATTTAGTTTGCACCTTTTATTTCATTTGAAAAGGTGGTTGCAATAGATTTAGGACATGGCTTTCTTCACTCATTCTTCGTTTATAGGAAAGGTTACGAGACTACCAATAAATCGGTTATATGATATGTATTCGCTCTATTTCGTTTAAGTTGATCAAGGACTGACAGTAGACTTTTTCCATGATCATATGAGTAAAACTGACATTTCCATTAAATTTCACATAGACCTGCTAATCCATAAAATATTTCTATCCGGGCTGAAATGGACTGCAGTTTCCACCTCCCCTTGGTCTTATCAACGCCCCCAGCAAGAGTCGGACCATAATAGTATAGTGTGTAATCTCGGCACGTTAGCCACTCTGCCACATTGCCACTAGTGCCCTTGGATTATAGGCCAAATGTAAGTTGCAAGAACGGCCAGGTATTTTCCTTACCCTAGACGAAATATGGTGAATACATCTCATGTAACTGATTTACTGGTGGTCTCGAAGCCCTATTTATGAATCAAAAATAGGTAATGTAGTCAAATGTCATAGCAAATACAACTTTGCTTAATCGACAATCCAACCAAAGGATATGATATGGGAAAATGCTTGGCCCTCCTTAAAATTCACATCTGCCCTGTGATCCAAGGGCACTCATGGAAATGTAGCAAAGTGGTTAACATGTCGAGATTATACGCTGCATTGTCTTAGTTCAACTCTTGATGAGGGTGTTGTGAAGACTTATGTGAGGTCGAAACTGCAGTCCACTCTGGATGAAAACACCTTTTAGGAAAAGCAAGGTCGTATGAAATTCATTGGAAACGTCAGCTTTACTCACAACATTGTGGGAATATTCAACTGCGAGTCCTTCGTCATCATAAACGAAATAAGGTGAATATAATGCCAATATTTTTCCTATAACTACAATATGTTCTAGAGGTCTGAGTACATAAGCAAGAATTGTGTTTTTTCATCAGTTATAAAAGAGGCTAATGCAATTTCATAGTTGGTAATTTTCAAATAAGATTACTTATTTTTTCAATAATATGTAAATCAAGAGGACAATCCTAAACAATCATCAGGCTGTGCTAGGCATATTTGAAGCAAAAGGAAGAGCAAGGACTGATGATTTGAATGACTTTCTCTGCTCTTTAGACACCAGACCTCAACGTCAACGATAGGAAACGATAAAATCTATTGTAACATTACAAGGCACTCTAGGATTCCCCAAAGGAGCATTGGAATAAGATGGATTTCTCAAACTATGCATAAATGGATAGAATCGACGCCAAAGTACAAGCGGTGATTAGGGCAAAAGATGATCATATCAAGTATTGAGATATTTTGACTGTCAGTAAATGCAATCAAATTTTTGTTGACTTATATCAGTTGGCTTACATATAAGTGAAAAATTAGATAATCTTGTTTGAAATTTATAAATTAATTAAAAATGTGTATTCGTTTTTTATAAATTCTGATATAAGCACCATTTTGGGTGGCGCAATCAGACTTATGGACCCTCTTGTATGTTTGGAGAAAAAATTTAGAAAACAAACATACCAGTTTCCTATAAGCATACATACCCAATTTTGCATCATCAATTACTAGAACATCTTTCAATTCTAAAGTGTTATTGCTTATTCCCTTGTAACTTTATTATTTCTTTCCTGTTGGTTAATCACAAGTAATCACCCCTGCGTCTGGGTGACTAATTCGAGGCTAAAGCCTCTGAGTAAGTGTCATGGCCACGCTTTTTCTACATGGACCATGTGTATGGTAAAAACAAGCTTACTGTCCGCCAACTAGCTCCAGTCTCCCCCACGTCTATCCTGTTTCTATCCCTAATACAAAGTCTCTGACTTCCCATGCTCCAGTCTCTTGTGTGCCAACCCACAAATGTTGTGGTACTGTTTGCTTTGATTAAGTTCCATGTTGAACCACAACGTTTGTCGGTTGACACACAAGAGACTAGGGCATAGGAAGTCATAGACTTGGTATTAGAGATAGAAATATGATAGAAACAGTGAAAACTAGAGCTAGTTGGCTAACAATATTCGTGATTCAAGGATCACGTCTATGATCAAACACGTCCATTGTTAGCCAAATAGCTCTAGTCTCCACTGCGTCTCTCCTATTTCTATATGTAATACCATGTCTATCACTCCCTACGTCCTAGTCTCTTGTGTGTCAACCCACAATTGTCGTGGTTCGACTTCTTTTAATTAGGCTCACTGAAGACGTCTCCTTCCTCAGAATTTCTCGTTTCCTAGTATTCACGTGAATCTATAGGAATTATTTTACAATCTGCCGTTTATATATGCTTATTTCACATATATTTGCTAGCTAACTCTCATTATTTCCCTTCATTTATGCCTCTTACTCTGCTTGATAGGCTCCATTCCTCGTATACGTTGAGGTGCTCGATTGTTCAGATCCTTCGACCGCTGTTTTGCCCACTCGACACTCCATTCAGGCAGTGGAAACCACCACAAGTCTCGTACATGACTCTAGTGGACTGGACGAGACAAACGCGAGCCAGCGTCAGCTCCTTTCCAGAAGCACTAACTCCACTGTTGGTCCAGTGCCGGGTCGGATGGGCAACCGATTGGTTTCTCTTCTAGCCGGCGCTATCGGCCTCAAGACGGAGCGAAGTGTCCTGATGGGGAACGCTAGTAATGCTTCTCCCTGCACTATCAATAATGCCTCTTCTGCTAACGCTTTCGCTGATGTAACTGCTGCTGATGTCGATTCGTCTAGCGACTCCACTAATGTTTTAACAGATAAGGCTGTTGCCGATTTGTCTATTACCACTGCTCCCCTCAGCCTCGATAAGACTAGTCTCGGACTTCATGCTGCTACAGACACATCTTTTCAATTACCAACTAAGGATATCACGTCGAAAAGGACTCGGTGTCCAGACCATCAAATAAATGTGAGTTTTTACTCTTTCATAGATGCCGAGCTGGTCTGACAAATAATTTGGTAATATTAATTTGATTTTATTAACTTTTCTTTTCTTGTGAAGAGAACTTTTTGCACAAAAGCCGTGTCAATATTGCAAATAATGGGTAAAATCTAGTTTAAGGTAACATCAAAACGATTTACGAATTTGAGTTTTTTCTCTCTACTCAAATATTCTATTGAAATGGGTAAACTTATTATGGACTATTCCTTCGATTTACAATGATTTCTCGGAAA